TTTTTTTGTTAAAAATGGCTTCTAATGAATTTAACTATACTTCATCCAAAATAAGTACGTAGCTCTTCTATTAAGTAATTACTAGAGAATTAGAAGCGCAATCGGTTCTCTCGTTTAATCTTCACGTTAATTAAAGCGTGGGTGATTTTTGTACGTTGCTGTTTTAGCTACGCTCTTGAAATTAAAATCTTGAAATTTTCGGGTCATTCGGGTCCAGTTTTGAAAATTTCGGGTCGGGTCCAAAAGCTTTCGGATCGGGTCGGGTTCGGGTTAATATAAAAAATATTGAATCGGGTCGGGTCGGGTTCGGGTAAAAAATGTTCAGGTCGCGTCGGGTTCGGGTCATCCACGTAAGACCCGATTCGGTCTCTGACCTATACATGGCTCTTTGTTTACTCTGACATGGATGGAAACATGTGATACATTCCAAAGATCGAAAGAAGAAAAACACAGAAAAGCAAGACCCCTATTTTTATAATCTCAAACGTTTGAGATAAAAAAAAACGGTTTCGAAACAGCCGCATTAATTAATCTATTCTGCATTAAATCCTTGCCCATTACATCTTGAAATAAACAGCCTGAAATAATCATAATCCTGTATATGTTTTACCTTTTTTTTCGTATTTCGTATTTTTATCCTTAGTAATATTTTGCAGTGTATTACTTCCATCTTTTTCTGATGTTTGTCCATTTCCTATTAATTCTTTTTCAAATGTTTGTCCCTCTACACTAACACTTGTTGCTAGTCGATTCAAAATTATGGTCTGACTGTTTGTAATATCCGCTAATTGACGATTATCTAAAGATACATTAAAAAGAAAGTAAGTATGGAGTTGAATTATAAACAAAAAAGAAGAATCTTCTGAAGTTCTTAGATCATATTCCTTCAGCAATATTAGAATGCATCTTACTTAATTGATCAATATTATTCAATTGATCATTTCCTATTTGTTGGTTTCGAGTTGCAACAGGATTATGATCAAATTCTTTTAGTTGCTTATTATCTGTTCTAATTTTTGATGTATGTTGTTCTTCATCATCATCATTTACATTAATTTGATCTGTAGAATTATCTAAGTGAATAAGAATATATAGAAAAAAAGAACTAGACATGAAATAGTAGAATAAATAATGAATTTACTTTGTGCGACGGTGTCATTTTCCATAATATTTGCATCAAACCAGTTAATAAGCTGCTCAGTTGTGGACTGTTGTTTTGGTGGTGGATCTGATCGACCCCACTGTAATAATTGCAAAACATTTGATGGTTGAATGGATGATGGTTGTAATATTGTATCGGCAACTTGATTAGCTGTCTTTAAAGTAAACATTTATTCACCATTA